TATGCACGGATTTTTACCAAAAATTAATCAAATCTGCGCATATGTTCAGAGCATCTATGTACCAAGTTTCATCAAAATCCAATGAGTGGTTCTTTAGATATCAGTGGAACAGTCATAGAACAGCTAAAAATTAGCTAATTATCATGCAAATTAGGTAATTAACGAGCATGGATTTTTACCAAAACCTAATCAAATCTGCGCATTGGCCCAGAGCATCTATGCACCAAGTTTCATCAAAAACCGATGTATGGTTCTTGAGATAGCAGTGGAACAGTCGGACACACATACACACACACATACACACATACACACATACATACACACACACACATACACACATACAGACACACTAACTGCAAAGACTCCCATTTTGTGCTTCGCACATGGGAGTCAAAAATAAATTGAGTGATGTTTTTAGCAATCTGGCTGCATAGTCAGTAATTCAGTAGAAAGTAAATTAACAATTAAGTTTTACCCTTCTTGTGGTTGATAGTCTAAGAAAGTTTACAGCCAAATACCCAGGGTAGTTTTGCTATGACTATACAGATATAGGGTCAATATGAAGGTTACAATTACAAAATACGTCAGAGTTTTGTACCTAATGGTGTTTAAAAACACAAAATCCAACTTTGTCACCTTTCACACACAAAACCAAGGGGAGAGTACACACATTTTGACCAAAATTATTAAATAATGGGCAAAATGCAGTATTTATTTGAAATGCAACAGTCTAACCGACAGAATTTTTTTTTTACAAGATTTGTGCCTACGGAGCACATTATGTTTAATGATTGGACTCTTTCACAAGAAACAGACATCATTTTCAATCTACATATGAATTTCTGTAAAGGATAATACTTACGAGCATTCAATTGCACATCTTTTCCTTCTAGTTCACTCACAGCTGTGGGAAAAACCAAGAGAATGAATTATATGACATCAACAAGTCATTGTAAATTTAATGCAAATGCTGAAACTGAACAAAATTAGTCTTTGCATGTGAGACTTGAAATAAGATAAATGGCCACCAGTCTAACAAAACATTTTAATTGCAAACGACCCAGAGCAGGTTTTCTATTTAAATGAAAATCAGAGCCAATTGGCCATATCTATACTTGGATAAAAAGAATCAATAATGCAATCAACCAATCAAATCATGTCATGTCATAAATTAACAGCACTTGCACAGGTTAAAGTTACCATGCTGTTCCAACTTAGAACCCTGAATACTTAGTATAGCTTAAGAGATGGTTGCTTAGTCAAGCAAGTATATTAAGAAATATATAAAGTTCAATGTACATACCAAGTTTGAACATGTAATTGCATTACACATTCCCAGTGAGTTCTTAACTTTAAGAAACATATGAAGTTTGATCATGAACAGTTATGTCAGAGATATGGCTCCAAAACTGCTTTCACTAGAACAAAATGGTCACCAGTCAGCCATTTTGAGTCCGATCTGACCAGTCGGCCATTTTGAGTCTGATCTGACAAAATGATAAACATTATCCTTTTCACCACCAGTTTCCTCTTTTCATGACAAATTCACAAAATAATCCTGTTTATAGTCTGCACTTTCCTTCAGAAGATTGTGACAAAAAACACCTAATTTTTGGAGTTAAAACTGAAAATTGACTCAAACTTATAAGAAGTATAAGAAAGAATATGCTAGTAATAAACAAGCAGACTCTCGGCTGAGATAGCTCCGCTGTTAGCAATGCACATTTAAATTAAAGAACCGAAGATATCATTAGAAAATGAACAATATGCATAGTATCAATGCAATGGGACTTCAACAAGAATCCAAAAATATCATTTATCATAAATGATTGTGGTTTTTAACAAGAAGAAAATATCACATTTCACCAAAATTAGAGAATTGAAGATATCATCATGAAATGAACAAATTTGAGAGTGGTCCACATGTAGTACCTATATATGTAATATCAAAGCAATTGGACTTGTCGTTTTTTTTTTTTTAACAAGAAATTGAAAATATCACTTTTTACCAAAAATGACAAAAATATTCACCAAAATTAGAAAATTAAAGATATCAACATGAAATGAACAAATTTGATAGTGGTCCACATGTAGTACCTATATATGTAATATCAAAGCAATTGGACTTGCGGTTTTTAACAAGAAGTTGAAAATATCACTTTTTACCAAAAATTACAAAAATATTCACCAAAATTAGAGAATTGAAGATATGATCATGAAATGAACAAATCTGAGAGAGGTCTACCAAAGGTACATATACACCAAGTATCAAAGCATTCAGGCTTGTAGTTTTCAAGAAGAAGTCGAATAAGTAAAACATTGACACGAACGACAGACAATCACTCATATGATAAGCTCCGCTCGACAAAGTCGACAGCAGAGCTAAAAAAGTGCAGAAAAATTTGGCTGAGAGAGTCTGGTGGTGAAAAATTGGATAACTAAAGGAATAAATATGCACATGTGGAACAAGATGTATATGTAAAGTTGATCGGTCCAGATATGTAATGAGATTCGGAGCGGTATTCGCTAAAACAAAATGACAACCAGTTGGCTAATATTTCCCACGATGTTCAATGATTTAGAAATACCAGAAACGGTTGATTCTGATACATTTTATAAGCATTGAAATGGAAGACATTTAGCCATCTTGAATCATAATATAAAACAAATGAACATTTCTTTCTTTCTTTCTTTAGGCATACAATGCACAAGTGAAGTTTTGAATATTAGTCAGTCCAGGCATGTCGGAACAGACCAAATCCTGTTTTTTTACTTTGACAAACGCTTTTTAATTTTGCCTTAACATCTGAGTAGATAAGCTATACCGGTTTGATTATTCTCACCAGAACTTATTTCTTGCATCACAGTTAATGATTCCCTTAGTACATCCTGCAGTTCATCTTTTTTCAGTGGTTCGGCACATTTTTCAAGTAATGTTGATAATAAACCCGAAATCTCCCCTGCGAAAAAATTGAATTATGAGAAATATTGTTAATTTGTATTACAGCAAGTCTCAGAAGTATTGGGGAAGCCAATTTGCAAACTCGCTAGTGAATTGGCTAACTGTTTGGGTTTTGACTAAACGGTTGGCTTTCGAATCTCCCTGGCACTGGTTTGTGGTTGCGTCCACTCTTGGCGAGTCTATAATGCATTACATGTATGGTACATGTATGGATTCCCCTGAATGATTTGAGCCCGAAAATGGCCACAGTCAGCTGGCGTGATAATATTATAAATGCAATTAATCCACCGATATTTATTATATGAGGTTAACCTTCTTGAACACTGCTTGAATCTAAATAGACAAGTTGAGAAACAGTTTCCTACAAATCAGGGAGAAAATAACAAACTTTCATACTCAAACGATCTGTTGGGGTAACATTAATCCAACCGCTGAAAAAATCAACCTCATTCGTCGTTTTTGTATGGACACAAGAGCATGGAACACTTTCCCTGGTATATTTCAAAGCGAAATCGCCATCCAACTGTAAGACCGTCGCTGATTAGCTCCTAGTGTACGAGGATCTTCCCCTACTGTTACATAGATTCCTCTTAAGTGGGCGTGACCGCAAGATGACGCCAGCGAGATTCGAAAGCCAATCGTTTAGTCAAAACCAAAGCAGTTAGCCAATTCGCTAGAGAGTTTGCAAATTTGCTGCCCCAATACTTCTGAGACTTGCTGTAAATTGTACCGTATAATCTCTAATTTAGGGGTCATTTTTCGAACATTTCAATCTTTCCTTGACGCCTAAAATATAGTCAAATTTAGGTTTTCTGTAGTCCTTGACGCGTATTCAAGAGTGCAATGTTTATTGTGGGTAGCGTGAATGGGTAAACTGAGTGTTCTACGTTCTTCGTGTAGATGTTAGTATGCAAGGGGTTTTCCCATACAAAAATGAAAAATTCGTCCAAATTTTGTTAGGGGTTGACTTAATGTTGCCCAAACGAATAGTTCCAATGTAAAAATTTTTTTCTTCCAATAATTTGTAGGAAAAACATATTTCTCAACTTGTCTATTTAGTTTCAAGCCGTATTCAAGATGACTTCCACCATGTAGTAAATATTGTTAAATTAAATGCATTTATTTGCCTATCACTAGCACGCCATCAGACTAAGCTGTGTTAATTGGCAATTATAGATTCCCTTAAGATTGACAACATTATTCGTACCGCTGTAAATTCCACACACTTTGAGGTAAATTTGACATTCTGATTACACATTGCAAAATGTGCTTTTAAAAAAAACAAATACATCATAATCCTTAGGATATTATGGTAAGACAGTAAAACGTTTTAGAAAAATCAATGTCCAATGGTACAAATCATAGAGAATTCTGGGTAATTTATAGTGCTGTGCAGTTGGATGTTAGCTTTTTTTATAACGTCTGCCTTTGACCCTTATAATTTGCGGTCGTTTCTTTAATCTGTGTTGTTGTAAGTCTAGTCAATACTAGAAACAATTCGGGTCGACCACAAGGAATGTGGGTCGGCCAAACAACATCCAGTGAAAAGTATGGTCATGCAGATAACGTCAAAACTAAGAACCGTTTTTCAATTTGGTAACTCACCGTATCTCCGACGTAACATAACTTCTGGTAATAACTGGAGCTGCCGACCTTGATTAGAAATTAGAGAAAATGCAATGACATTCACGGAAAATCAAACTTCTGAACAATTCATCCGCATTTCCCGCCAAGTTTCCGACTACAGCCGGAAATTAACGAAATTTGTCGAAATGTATCCAAGTGACGTCACACCCAAACAAATATGGCCGACATACTGGAAAGGAGCTGAGGTGTTGTGCTACACACAGTAACAATGATTTAAAAATATATATACATCCTTTCAGATAGTAGATGATATACATCTGTATCGTGTATTATGGCGCACGCAGAATTTAACCTTGATCCGGTATGTAATGTTGTCTAAATGATGTTGTTCCTGATCGTACTGAGTGCTAATACCATTCTGAGTGTCATTCACTGACAATGTACCGAGATCGTCGTAGTTTACTGATTTGTTATTATCTGTATTCTTTTATAGTTACCACTGCTAACGAAGGGACGTTGGGGATGGAAAGACGAAACGAACACTCTTGAATTTTCATCAAGGTGAGCGCCATTTTCGGAAAGCCCTGTCAAAACAGTTAAACGACGTTATAGATTTCAGCGCGGTTTCGTGGTGTAGCGGTTATCACGTCTGCTTTACACGCAGAAGGTCCTGAGTTCGATCCTCAGCGGAACCAGCGGTTTCTTTTCTTGACTTTTTTTTTTTTTTTCATGTTCATTGTCATTCTTGTGCAACTTTTTTCGGCTCCAGATATTGATTATTATTTTTTTTGTTTTTTTTTTCAACAGCCCTGGCGTTGGTGCCGATTCAAAGGACAAGCGTGGAAAGCGAAATAAAAACATAAGTTTTGGCGATCATGGACGAAAAACGGATAGGTGGATATAACATATAATTTTCTTTATGTCATAGTACATTGAATTTCATGAAGGCATGATTTTTTTAAAACTGTTGTTAAAATTGTTTAATATTGTTTAAAAATATGAATAGTTTCACCATCCAATTGTCAAACTGCACTCATTCACGCTGTATCAACGTAAACATGCAATGTACTATACATTTTGCACACACAAAAAAGTATAACTGAGAATGAACACTATAACTATTACTTTCACTACGATAATTCGCTGATTTTTATTTGTCTTTAATAATCACATGTGCCACACATAGCACATCCTCTTAGATATCTACGTTTGGTGTCTTGATCTGAATGGACCCTATTCGCATATGGTGATGGGGATCTCGTAGAGGACTTTGTTTTTGCCGCTTCAAGTAGCATTTCATACAATACGGTCCACTGTTTATCTGACCTGTGTAACCAGGATATTTGGAACACTAGGCACAATGATCAAGAGAATGAAACACTTGGAATGAATTTACTGGGCAAAAACAAGTGTCAGATTCTCTCACTCTCAATGGTACTTGGTCATGGACATTCCAACAAAAGCTAAAATGAAATGAAGACATTTTTTGGGCATAAGGTTTATCATATAGTAGTGTTACATAATCATTGTTTTGAACATATGTCATCAAAATTTTCGTTTTTTTTTATACCCAGTACAAAACATTTTTTTCAGAAAAACTGACAACCTTCCAAAATGGACATTTTTGGAACAATTTCCATGGAAGTCGATGTAGATTGTAGTGAGATTTAAGATAATGCATTGCATGCATGTTGTACATCTCTAAGACTCTGACAATACACTCATTTATTCCAGATCTACACCAAATAAGTATGGGCTACGTAACCAAGCTGGTGGGCGTGGTCGCGGCTATGGAGGAAGATCTCCAAGACCCACATTAAAACATGGTGCTGATCATACAACAGTGACTCTAGATGATGCCAAAGGTCAGCACACCAACGACTTTGTACCTATTCAGTCTTATGTTATGTGTTTAATAACATACTAAATATATGTGTACATTTTGTGGATATATTATTACCCAAGTTCCGTGTACGATTCTGTGGTCACAGAATAATTGCAATCTCATGCAATCATTTTTTTATATGTGGCATAACCACTTGGAGCTAATCCAACCCTGCATCTATTGAGGCAGTTTGAGCTGAAATTCAAATTTTGCACTACTGAGCCTTGTTACATGCAATGCATTGTTTGAAATAGCCCCTTATTTGTATATATCAGGTAATGGAAAACTAGTATCACCCTGGAAAATCAGTAAATTATGTAAATTTTTTGAAATGATTTCACATTAATATATTTCATATCAATAATAATATACAACATTTCCATCCTATGTTACCAAGCAAAATTTTGAGTTATGAATCAATAATCTCATCATAGGAACCAGGGTAAAAATGACAATTTTGATCATTTTTCATAATATTTCAGACTTTGTATGACCTCATAAAAATTAAAGTATGACGAACAAGACATATAATCTTTAATTCAGCTTGCACATTCGAACATACCGGGGTAAAAATTGATATAATCAGTTTTAACATTAACAAACCTAAAATCCCAGTTACTGTGGAATACTTTATTTTCGCTGGAATTAATTTTCGCTGAAAAGGCTTTTTGGGCGTTTGCTTGGAATTTATTTTCACTGATTTTGGATGAGTTTAATGTGAAAATATAGGAAAAAAAGTATATTCGCTGGATTTTATTTTCACGGAATCATCCCTTCAGCGAAAATAGCGAAAATAAATTCCAAGCGAAAATAAAGTATTCTACAGTATTTAATACCAGCACTGTGTTTCTTATTGTCATTTGTTTACTTTTCTTTTACACAGCTGTATCACTAGCCACGTTGGCTGAAGTTCACAATCCGGCAGACCACTTTGAAGTTCTCATTGCGTATGTATTCCTATGCAATTTTTCAGTTTTTAACATGATATAAAAATCAAAGTACGTTAGTAATGTCAGAACATAATTGTCATGGTCTATTCCGTTCTGGGGAGAGAAATTAGTGTAAAGGTTAAGGGTGGGTAGGTTAGAGGTTTGTATTATGTAATTGTTCCCTACAATTCGGCAGAACTGTAAAGCGATCTGTTGGGTTATAGAATTATAATTATTTTCTAGTGAAATACCTAAATGGTATGCATAAAACTATGCATTCCTATTCTACACTAACACATACTATATATTTCCTTCCTATCTAAAATCAATCTTTCTTAAATTTCTTATTTTTTTTTCTAGGTATAATCAGTTTGATGATTTCCTTGTAGCACTCCTGAACTATTTTGATTGTTTTTTTGAGCGTTTAGCCCAAGAGAAGAAACCGAAAACATTTGCAGCGTAAGTCGTAAAAAACTTTATTTAATGATAGCCATTATTATAGTTTCTGTTGAAATAACAGCTCATGCCAAATAGAATACTCTTTTGTGAGAATCAATAAACTTGATGATTTACAGGTGGTTCTGCTTCACATGATACCAATGTCTACTGCAAG